CGATCTCGGCTCACTGCAAACTCTGCCTCCCAAGTTCAAGCAATTCTCCTGCCTCAGCCTCCCAAGTAGGTGGGACTACAGGTGTGCACCACCATGCCCAGCTAATTTTTGTATTTTTAGTAGAGACAGCACTTCACCTTGTTGGCCAGGATTGCCTCTATCTCTTGACCTTGCGATCCGCCCACCTCGGCCTCCCAAAGTGCTGGGATTACAGGTGTGAGCCACTGCACATGGCCCAGAGTGTTTTTTCATAACTGTCTTAGTCTGTTTATTGTTACTTATAACAGGATTACCTGAGCCTGGGTAATTTATAAAAAATACTATTTGTTTTTTACACTTCTGCAGGCTGGGAAGCTCAAGGTCAAGTCTTGGCATTTGGTAATAGCCTTTTTGCTGGTGGGGACTCTGCAGAGTCCCTAGGTGGCACAGGGTAGCACATGGCCAGGGGCCCAGTGTTTAGTTCTGGTCTCTTTCTCTTATCATAAGGACACTAGGCCTATTCCTGAGATACTCCATTTACTCATTAAACCATTAATCTACAAATGGATTCGTACATTCCAGAGGTCCAAACCCTCAAGATCTGATCAACTCTTAAAGCTCCACATTTCATTATTGTCATATGGAGGATTAAGTTTCAACATGAGTTTTGGAAAGCACAAACATTCACACCTAGCAGTGGCTAACAGGTATTCTCTCTCTGCTGACCATGTAACAAACTTCCAAACTCTCAGAACGGGAATAGGAGTTAAGTTAAAAAGATATATGTTTATATATATTATATATATAAACATGGTGAATACATAATATTCATGGCATATATAAACATTTTACATATATATAAACAATGATATATAGTATACTTATATATAACATATAATATATAAATATATTGCATATATATGTGTATATTATATATTTTATAATATATACATCATAAATATACAAATATAAATTTTATATTATGTAAAAATATATTTTAAATATATATAATTATATATGTGTGTTATATAGACATTTATATATTTTTTATATATATATATTTTACTTTTATTTTTTGAGACAGGATCTCACTCTATTGCAGGATCTCACTCTGTCGCTTAGGCTGGAGTACAGTGGCATGATCATGGCTCACTGCAGCCCCAGCCTCCTGGGCTTGGGTGATCCTCTCTCCTCAGCCTCCTGGGCAGCTGGAACTACAGGCATGCACCACCACACCTTGCCATTTTTTTTTTTGTAGAGACAGGGTCTCACCATGTTGCCCAGGCTGGTCTTGAACTCTTGGGCTCAAGTGATCCACCTGCCTTGGCCTCCCAAAGTGCTGGGATTACAGGCATGAGCCACTGAGTCAGGCCTAGCTTCACATTTTGTAGAGAAAAGGGCTCACTATGATGCCCATGCTGGTCCTAAACTCCTGTTCTTAAGTATCCTGTTCTTAAGTGTCCTTCCACTTTGGCCTCCCAAAGTGATGGGATTGCAGGCATGACTCACCATGTCTGGCCCATATATTTTGCATAAACAGTTCAGGCACACTCAGCCTCTGTTATTAGTTACATTGGTGGGACCCCCTTCTTAATCTGGTACCTAGACACCATGAAAGATCCAAGTTTGCAAATGAGCATTTATCAGAATATGCAGTTTCAGGATTGGTAGTGGTAACTCTTCTACACAACAGGTAGTTGTACTTTGTCATGACAAGAACTACACAGACCTCTGTAGAAAGAGACATCAGGGGTGTTGCAGGCAATAAGACTCACCCACGTAACTCACCAAGATGGATGTTTCTATTGACTGTTACTTTACCAAACATATTCAACTAAGGCATCATAATGGCTTTGTGGGAAAAAGTGAGTGTAGACAGAATAAGAGTCGGTTTACTATGTTGTTGAATAAATGCTTGGAAACCACAGCATCTTACAAAGTTTATGAAGTGACTATAGATTCTCAGTGCTATCCAACTCAACTTTCCTCCTCTGCACATGTGGGATGTTTCAGGACTCAGTGGCTTTTGAGGATGTGGCTGTGAACTTTACACAAGAGGAGTGGGCTTTGCTGGGTCCATCACAGAAGAGTCTCTACAGAAATGTAATGCAGGAAACCATTAGGAACCTGGACTGCATAGGTAAGGATGACATCATCTCTTCACTCAGTCAGTTAGAGACATTTGTTCCCTGGCCATCAACACTGTTCATTATTTGAAATCTGGAAAGGGGGTATGGTTGATCCTTCAACAACACAGGGTTTAGAGGTGCCAGCTCCTCAGTCATAAAATCCTCTAATAACTTTTTTTGTCTCCCACAACTAACAGCTTATTGTTGACTGGCCCACTTATCAGTAATATAAACATTAGATTAATCCACATATTGTATGTTATATGTATTACATACTATACTCATAATAAAGTGAGCTAGGGAAAGAAAGTGTTGATAAAAATCATAAGGAAGAAAAACTGTATTTACTATTCGTTAAGTGGAAGTAGATCATTATAAAGGTTTTCATCGTTGTCTTCACATTGAGTAGGCTGAGTAAGAGGAAGGGTTGGTCTTGCTGTCCCAGGGTAGCAGAGACTGAAGAAAATTCATATATAAGTGGAGCTGTGTGCAGTTCAAACCTGTGTTGTTGAAGAGTCAAGTGTCCTTTGGTGAATGAATCATGCATGATTGTAGTACCTGTAAAATCTTAGAGTTTTTCTGTGATTTAAAAAAAAATTTTAGTGATTTTTCTGGGTCTACCTTTTAGAAATGAAATGGGAGGACCAGAACATTGAAGATCAGTGCCAAAATCCCAGGAGAAATCTAAGGTAATTTGCACTCACTAAAGAAAGCTATGTCCCTGGAGTGGTTCATAGAATGACAAGAAAATTTTTATAAACAAGCAAAGAAGGCGGGACGTGGTGGCTCACTCCTGAAATCCCAGCACTTTGGGAGCCTGAGGTGGGCAGATCACAAGGTCAGGTGATCGAGACCATCCTGGCTAACGTGGTAGAACCCTGTCTCTACTGAAAATACAAAAAATTAGCCGGCCATGGTGGCGAGCGCCTGTAGTCCCAGCTACTTGGGAGGCTGAGGCAGGAAAATCACTTGAACCCGGGAGGCGGAGGTTGCAGTGAGCTGAGATCATACCACAGCACTCGAGCCTGGGTGACAGAGTGAGACAAAAGCAAAGAAAATGAACAAGCCCAGCTTAAATTTATTCATCCTAATAATTCTTTTTCTAACCAAGTGCAGTGGCTCACACATGTATTCCCAGCACTTTGGGAGGCCAAGGTAGGAAGACTGCTTGAGCCTAGGAGTTTGAGATCAGCCTGGGCAGCATAGTGAGAGTCCCCATCTCTGTTAAAAAAAAAAAAAAAAATTTCCCCAGGAACATATAGTTAAATGTGACATAGTATTCAGTCTTTGCAAAATAGTTCCCTTGGAAACAGTATTAAGAATCCCCATGTGAATATCACTGTTTTGCTAATAGCTGTGATGGAGCCATCTTACACTGCACAGTCACTTCACATTCAAACAGGGCATGAAGGCTGTACTTTGCATGATAATGTTAAAAATGTAAATCTAGTACTTTAATACATATAAAATCACTTACAAGCAAACCTTTAGTAATATACTTCTTATTTGTTACAGAAGTCATACATGTGAAGTTATTGATGATAGTCAATGTGGAGAAACTTTTAGCCAGATTTCAGAGAGTCTTGTGAACAAAAACACTCCTGGAGTAAATCCATGTGACAGCAGTGAGTGTGGAGAAGTCGTCATGGGTCATTCATCTCTTAATTGCAGTGTCAGAATTGACACTGGCCACAAATCATGGGAGCATCAAGAATATGGAGAGAAGCCATATACACATAAACAATGTGGGAAAGCCAATAGTCATCAGCACTGCTTTCAGACACATGAAAGGCCTCCCACTGGAAAGAAACCCTTCGATTGTAAAGAATGTACAAAAACTTTCAGTTCTCTTGGAAACCTTCGAAGACACATGGCAGCACACCATGGAGATGGACCTTATAAATGTAAGTTATGTGGGAAAGCCTTTGTTTGGCCCAGTTTATTTCATTTGCATGAAAGAACTCACACTGGAGAGAAACCGTATGAATGTAAGCAGTGTTCTAAAGCCTTTCCTTTTTATAGTTCCTATCTAAGACATGAGAGAATACACACGGGAGAGAAAGCATATGAATGTAAGCAGTGTTCCAAAGCCTTCCCTGATTACAGTACCTATCTAAGACATGAAAGAACTCACACGGGAGAGAAACCCTATAAATGTACACAATGTGGGAAAGCCTTCAGCTGTTACTATTACACTCGACTACATGAAAGGACTCACACTGGAGAACAACCCTATGCATGTAAGCAATGTGGCAAAACATTTTATCATCACACAAGCTTTCGAAGACACATGATAAGGCACACTGGAGATGGACCACATAAATGTAAGATATGTGGGAAAGGTTTTGATTGTCCTAGTTCAGTTCGAAATCATGAAACTACTCACACTGGAGAGAAACCCTATGAATGTAAGCAGTGTGGGAAAGTGTTATCTCATAGCTCCAGCTTTCGAAGTCACATGATAACACACACAGGAGATGGACCCCAGAAATGCAAGATATGTGGAAAAGCCTTTGGTTGTCCCAGCTTATTTCAAAGACATGAAAGGACTCACACTGGAGAGAAACCCTATACATGTAAACAATGTGGGAAAGCCTTCAGTCTTTCCGGTTCCCTTCGAAGACATGAAGCAACTCACAGTGGAGTGAAACCCTATAAATGTAAATGTGGGAAAGCCTTTAGTGATCTCTCTTCCTTTCAAAATCATGAAACAACTCACACTGGAGAGAAGCCATATGAATGTAAGGAATGTGGGAAAGCATTCAGTTGTTTCAAATACCTTTCTCAACATAAAAGGACCCACACAGTAGAAAAACCTTATGAGTGTAAAACATGTAGGAAAGCCTTTGGTCATTTCAGTAACTTAAAAGTCCATGAAAGAATTCACTCTGGAGAGAAGCCATATGAATGTAAGGAATGTGGGAAAGCATTCTCTTGGCTCACTTGCCTTCTAAGACATGAAAGAATCCACACTGGAGAGAAACCCTATGAATGTCAGCAATGTGGAAAATCCTTCACTCGTTCCCGTTTCCTTCGAGGACATGAAAAAACTCACACTGGAGAGAAGCTGTATGAATGTAAGGAATGTGGGAAGGCATTGAGCTCTCTGCGTTCCTTGTATAGACATAAAAGGACTCACTGGAAAGATTCTCTGTAAATGTATGGAATGTGGGAAGACTTATTCAGTACTTGTATTTAATTTCAGAAACTTGAAAGAACTCACTTTGGAGACAGACCTCATGAATGTAAAGATGTGATAAAGCCTTAAGTAGCTTCAATTTTTTAAGTACAGTTATCCGCCAATATACACAGGGGATTGGTTCCAGCACCCCCTAAATCCACAGTTGCCCAGTCCTTTCTTATATGGCATATTTGCATGTAACCTATCACATCCTCATGTATACTGTGTAAATCATCTCTAGATTACTGTTAATACCTCATGCATTGTAAAAGCTATGTAAATAGTTGTTTGATTGTATTGTTTAGAGATTCAGGGCAAGAAAAATAGTCTCTATGTGTTCAATGCAGACACAGCCATTGCAGGCCCACCTATATAGTATATGCCACCCAGAACATTAAAATTTCTGTGTTTTAATATTCACAGATTGCTTTTGTTTTGTGACCTGAGTGAGCGTGTCAACACTCATCAAAATCCTGCTTCTCTCTTGATAACCCATGTATAATTATGGTGATGATAACTGCTGTATGGTGCCTAACATTGTCACGTGTTATAGCATTATAGATAAGCAGTGAGACATCAGGCTAACTTGAATCTTGACAGAATGTCAGGATGATCATCAATGCTGGAAGAACTAGGTTCTGACTGCAGTTGTTGACTTGTTGTAGGGGACTAAATAATACTAATGTTGTGATCTGTTCAGCCTCAGGGCTGCAGATCCTTAACCATGGAAGGTTCTGTGTTTATTTATTTTTTTTTTAAAAGGGGTTTCACCATGTTGATCAGACTGGTCTTGAACTCCCGACCTCAGGTAATCCGCCCATCTTGGCCTTCAAAGTGCTTGGATTACAGGCTTGAGTCACTATGCCCAGCCAAAGGTTCTGTGTTTATATTTGCAGGTGCTTAGTGAGAAATATAGGAAGCTAGTTTTTCTTTCTTTCTTTTTTTTTTTTCTTTTTTTGAGTCATCAAAAAGATCTTGCAGTGTTTGTTGGCATGTTATTCCATGGTGACATGGAGGCTTTGTTCCATCAAAGGATCTTACTTAAGGATGATAAACTTTCTTAACACTTTTGCCTGTTGAAAAACTGCAAATTTTTCAAGTGTCCAAATCTGTGGCACTGCCTCTTTTAAGGCATCATCATCAATCTATAGAGCATCTCAGCAGATCTTCAAGTTCCTTGTTGTAAGAATTTATGCTCTTCTGTGTATTACTCAACATCGTCTTCAATCCTGTCAGAGATAGGCTTTCTTACCAACTTCCCTTGCAATATTTAAGATATTCCTGGCTGAGCATGGTGGCTCACACCTGTAAACCCAGCACTTTGGGAGGCCGAGGTGTGTGGATCACCTGAGGTCAGAAGTTCAAGAACAGCCTGAGCAATATGATGAAACCCTGTCTCTACTAAGAATACAAAAATTAGCCAGGTGTGGTGGCATGCGCCTGTAATCCCAGCTACTCGGGAGGCTGAGACAGAAGAATCGCTTGAAACTGGGAGGTGGAATTTGCAGTTAGCCAAGATCATGCTATTGCACTGCAATGTGGGCAACAAGAGCAAAACACTATCTCAAAAAAAAAAAAAAAAAAAAAAAAAAAATTTAAAAAAAAAAAAAAAAAAAAAAAAAAAAAAAAAAAAAATAAAAAAAAAAAAAAAAAAAAAAAAAAAAAAAGATATCCTAACTACTGCATCAATAGTGGGGAAGCCCCAAAATCATTGACTCCCTGACTCCATAATTGCTTCTAGCTGGCTTTGGGTTTCTTGAGCTTTGGGGCATTTATAGCCTCTGCAATAAGGACAGTTGCATGTACAATTTATGAAAAAGTGCTTTCATAAATCCATTGTGGTACAGTCAGAGTTAACATCAGGATGGAGTGAATCCTCCTGAAGTTCAGTTGGGTATAAGTCACGTTAATCTACTTGATTATGCCTTGATTGCGTAGCTGTCACTGTGATGTCATGTTAAGCAGCAGGGACATCACTTCTACATTCTTATTGGCAAAGCAGAGAGATTGGAGATGGCCAGGAGCATTGTCAATTATGAGGAGGACCTTGAGTGGCAGCCCCTTCTCTTCAAAGTATTTCTTCACATCAGGAATGAAGCCTTGGTAGAACCATTCCAAGGACAAGATGGCCATCACCCAAGCTTTCTTGTATTTTTGCCAGAATGGAGGCAGGCAAGTTTTGCTTTTGTTCTAAAGGACCTAGGGATTGTTTGCTTAGTAGCCAAGGCAACTGGCCTGTTCTTGTGACCTGCTACATTGCCACACTTCACCAGAGTAGGCAATCTTTCCAGGCCCTGAACCCCAGGGCCTCCTTGGCAGTCATGGATGCAGGTACCACTGGACATCTTTCTTTTTCTAGGGTTTGCCCAATTCATTGCAGTGGAGAGCTTGCTCTGGAAGGTAGACTTTGTTTTTTTTTTTTGAGACGGAATCTCGCTCTGTCACCCAGGCTGGAATGCAGTGGTGTGATCTTGGCTCACTGCAACTCTGCCTCCTGGGTTCAAGCAGTTCTCATGCTTCAGCCTCCTGAGTAACTGGGAATACAGGCACGTGCCACCACACCGGGCTAATTTTTGTATTTTTAGTGGAGACGGGGTTTCACCATGCTGGTCAGGCTGGTCTTGAACTCCTGACCTCATGATCCATCCACCTTGGCCTCCCAAAGTGCTGGGATTATAGGCATGAGCCACTGTCCCTGGCCAGTAGACTTTCTTTTTATGAGTTTTGTGAGCTCTGCCGGGAATGCTAATATTGCCTTGGCATAAGCCAATGCTGATTCTCCTGTGGTCTTTAAATTTTTGAGGCTCTGGTGCTTTATGTAGCCAGCCCAGCCAGACAATACTGGCTTGTTCCTTTTTCTTTTTTTTTTTTTTTTTTTT